GTAGTTCAGTATCTTACATTCAGTTGTGCATGTAATAGATAGGGTTTTGTCAGATTTCCATCTAAAGAGGGAATTGCCAGTGTTTTTATTCCTTATGTCTTGTTCCCTAGTGGCATGAAGATAAAAGTTTTAAAAAGTTATCAGATACCCTTAAGAGTGTGAGAGAATGCTTCTGCTCTCTACATATTTTTTTTTAACAAAAAATTCTTTTAGTGGATGTGAGTGACATGCTTATCCATCAGGATATAGAATGTACAAATCCTCTGAATTCACCAGGAGCTGCTTAATCCATTTTTGATTTCTCCTTGCAAAGAGGTAGAGCGGTAGGTGTTCTGGTGGTTGAATGCTGCAGCTGCTGTCTGGGAGATGAACTAGGTAGTAAAGCATACTTGAGCTTTGGTAGGGCTGCAGGAAACATCCTGTGTCAGGACAGCGGCCAGGTGTGAGTGAAGTTACATGGTCATGATCTGAGCAAGCCGCTGGCATTCCTTCTGTGGCTCATGTCGTATATTCCTTTCGTACAGTTAAATAGTTGGAAATTAAAAACTAAAGGTCCAGAATTGTATGAAGCTAGAGGATGGACTGCTGGTGATGCAGACAAAAGTTGGACTCGATGATCCTCAAGGTCTCTTCCAGCCAAAATTATTCTGTGATTCTATGATTCTGTAATGGGCAGCTTATCTTTTTTTCCAGAACTCTAACTTTTAATTGTTGCCTTTTGCAGATCCCAGAGGAGGTTCTCTGTGTTCCTGTTACTCATTTTTGCACTAAACTGTATCAGCATTTAAACTGCACATTATCAAACCATGCAGGCCAATTATGTATTATGACAAAAATTGTGCTGCAGTGTATTTTCTGAGACCAGAGCCAAATGGATAGGTGCCTCACTTGCTTGGAAAGGGTGGTCTTAATTGTTGCAGTATTGTCAAGGGGTGACGTGCTCCTAGAGAGCCAGGCTCCTATCAGGGAATGAAAACCAGCAGGTCAGTTCTAATGGTTAACTAGCTGACACTGAATTTCAAACTGAGTGCCCACCAGAGCTGCTCTGTCACTCCCCCTCCACAGCTGGACAGGGGAGAGAAAACAACAAAAGGCTCGTGGGCCAAGGTAAGGACAGGGAGATCACTCAGCAATAACTGTCACACGCAAAACAGACTCAAATCAGAGAAACTAATTTAATTTTTTATGAACCAAATCAGAGAAAGGCCATGAGAAGTATAAATACATCCTAAAAAACCCCAACTTCTTCCCACCTCTCCCTACTTCCTGGGCTTAACTTTTTCCTTGACTTATCTACCTCCTTCCTGCCAAGTGGTGCAGGGGCACCGTGCAAGGATTGCAGTCAGTTCATTATATGTTGCATCTGTGGCTCCTTCCCCCTCGAGGGAGGACTCCTCACTCTTCCTCTGCTCCAGTGTGGGTTCCCTCCCACAAAAAACAGTTCACCACAAACTGCTCCAGTGTCCGTTCCATGGGGTTCAGGAGCAGACTGCTCTAGTGTAGGTCCCCTGTAGAGTCACAAGTCTTACCTGAAAACCTACTCCAGCGTGGGCTTTTCTCTCCATGGGTCCACAGGTCCTGTCAGGAGCCTGCTCCAGTGTGAGCTTCCCACAGGGTCACAGCCTCCTTCAGGTGCATCCACCTGCTCCAGCGTGAGGTCGTCCATGGGCTACAGGTGGACATCTACACTCTGTCATCTCTGGGCTGCAGGGGAACAGCCTGCCTCACTGTGGTCTTCACCACGACCCAGAGGACTGTCTGCTCTAGCACCTGGAGCACATCCTCCCCTCCATTCTTGATGGGCCTTGGTGTCTTCAAAGTTGTTTCTTTCATGTATTCTCACTCGTCTCTTCAGCTGCAGCTGTACAGTCGTCTTTTCCCCTTCTGAAATACGTTATCACAGAGGCACTGTCACCACTGCTGATGGGCTCGGCCTAATCAGCGGTGGGTCCATCTTTGGAGCTGACTGGAGCTAGCTCTGTCAGACCCAGGGAAGGCTTCTAGCAGCTTCTCACAGGAGCCATCCTTACAGACCTCCACTACCAAAACCTGGCCACACAAATCAAGTACAGCAGTGTATTTCAGAAAATGTTCAGAGTTTTGATTTTAATATAACTTGTGAAAAATATTTGAAATAAGCTATTGCATGAAAGAGATCTGTGATTACCACATTTTTTGTAAACTAGAAAATAATTTCATTACTAAAATTATTTCAACTTCTATGATAGGAAATCTTCCTGGTGGCCATCACAAGGAGTACAAGTCATAGCCAAGCTCTAGGTTGCAGGGGTTTTATTGCATTTTCAGGTAGAACCTTAGCATGATCAGGAGTTCAGTGCCAGAAGAGCACTATTGTAGGGCAGAACCACTCCCTTGTTTAATCCCCTGTTTAGTATCTGCATTGCTACAGGTATGGTAGATAGGTGTGTTTGTTGTCTTGTTCCTAAGCAGGATAAGGACTACCTAGCCAAATTTGTATGAACTGCAATTATGTGATCTGACTTTGTTTACTGATCACTTAGAGCTGTTGAGGTGGAAAGGTTTTCTTCTGCACCCGTTTGTTTCTAAGCATCTATTTTCTCACCTTCACAAGCCTCAAGTGTGTAGAGTACTTCCAAATCCCCAGAGAACTTGTTCATAGTCCGTCATCTCTCCCCTTCATTCCCTATCCGTCACAAGAGTAACTGTGTATGCTTGCTGCCCCGTAGGCTGGGGATGCACAAGAAGCTGGGAGGGCATGCAGCTGGGAAAGCTGACCCCAACTGACCAAAGGGATATCATAGACCGTATGATATCATGCTCAGTATATAAAGCTGGGAGGAAAAAGAAGGAAGGGGCGGGGTGTGTTTGGACTGATGCTATTTGTCTTCCCAAATAACAATTAGGCATGATGAAATGCTGCTTTCCTGAAGGTGGCTGAACACCTGTCTGCCAGTAGGAAGGATTGAATGAATTCCATGTTTTGCTTTGCTTTGCTTACCAGTGCAGCCTTCACTATCTCAACCCCTGAGTTTTTTTGCTTTTACCTTTCCTGTTCTCTCCCCCATCCCACTGCAGGGGAGTGAGTGGCTACGTGGGGCTTAGTTGCTGGCTGAGGTTAAATCACAACACCAGAGCTGTGCAGTGTACTGCACTCTGACATGGCCAGATGCCCTTGTTGTCAGCCCTCCACCATCTTAATTTGTGAAGGACAAAGGCAAAATTTGCCACCTCTGTGGGGTAATTTCCATAAGAAGATCCCTTTTATTCCTACTGAAGATGTGCTTGGTCTGCAGTACTGTTCATCAGTTGCTGCCTGGACAGGTTTTTCACATCTGCTTTATGAGGCTGGCTTCCTATGTGACAAAACACACTGTGTGAGTTAGCAGTTGGTGGAAGGGTTCAACCTTTCCATCAGTTCAGAAAGGTCAGTCCAGCGGGAGGTGACTCTCTGGCACCTTTCCCTTGTGTGACTGGTTGGTGTGGTGGCCTGGCCGCAAGGAGCCCTCTGCATTAGAGGGTCTTTGCTTGGGCTGTGTGCTCTCACCAGGGTGCTGCTCGCAGAGATTTGCATGGGATTTGCAGCTCTAAACTCCATAGGTGAAGGGTTTTTTAAGGTATTCTAATGAAATGTAATAGCCAAGACTTTGGAAAGAAACACAACTTGTCTGTGAGGATGGACGTTTAGCATGAGGCAAGATGTCAGGCATGAAGTAGATGGTGCTGAGAAACTGCTTCTGTAATTATTGACATTTTGAATGCCAGCCTAGAAGTATGTCTTTATGAGCCTTGCAAATGTTAAATGAGATGTCTTCATTTTAATCAGTGTAAGCTTTGTTCTCAGGCAGTGTTGAGTGGTGGACAATGGTAGTTGAATGAACAAATGCCTTCTTTGTGTGTTCAGACAGCACCTCTTCACTAGATTTTCATTGATGTCAGTAAAAGTATGTAAGTCTCTGTGAAGAGGGAACCTGTCCCCAGAGGAGTGCTCTTATCTCAGAGTTGTTTTCTACATCTGCTTTAGGGGAATGTTGCTGGGCATGATTTTTTCTCGTGCTTGAGCTAGGCAGGGGAACATGAGAAAGCTGAAGCTGGGGAACTCATCCTTCTCCCCTGTCCCACTGTGAAGCAGCAGTAGTCTTTCCATAACTGCTCAGTTATAGTGCCAAGGCTGGCCCTCAGCACTGGCAGCTACTTCCTGGGAGAACCAAGGGATTGCTACAGTGGTAGCTCCTGGTAATTTCTGGTAAAGAGTTCACAACCTTCAACTAGAGAATCATGCTTTGGATTGTTGGTAAGCAAGAGAAAATATGTCTTTGTTAAACTCTTACATATTAAATTTAAAAGCTAGGAATGGTCTGAAATATCATCCTTTTTACCTTCCTACAACTAGTTTCCAGTCATACTCAGTTGTTTCTGTAGTGGAGAACAAAGAGAAAAAAATGAGGTGTGAAAGGGTTCACAGCTTCAGGCTCTCTTTACACTGCACAAAAAGGTTTCTAACTCTTTTAGCTTAGTTTTGTATTTCAGATCTTCCAGACAATAGCTATTGCTCAGAGAATTCCACAAAGCTTGTCTATCCTTCTGTAGTGCCAGAACCTCTAGTGGTTTTTTTCCATACTAGCCGTGACAGCCATTGAGAGGACAGGTCACTTGCCAGGACGTCCTGTTCCTCAGCTGCTTGCTCTTGTAGTCTTCCTGAACTGCAACAGTCTCAAGTATTTGTAGACTCTGAATAAAATTCCTCTGGGAGTAGACCTGAAAGTTAGTTTGCAAATGCAACTAACCACATTTTATGTTGCTTAAAGTTTTTATTCTGTTATTAGTTTAATGATAAACAGAATAAACTGATACTTTGCAAAAAACAGCTCAGCTTTGGCAGAAACTGAGGACTCTAATTTTTTGAGCTGGGACTTCACTGGATAACAAAATACGTTTATAGATGTGTTAGGCAGACTGTGAATATTTAAGATTTTATTATTTGCTGTCCTTGTGATACTGTTTGTTTTTTTTCCCCATAGATAAGCAACGTCTTGTTTTTTATTTTACCACCCATATGTATGTGCTTATTCCGTCAATACGCAACCTGCTTCAACAGTGGAATATATTTAATCTGGACTCTGCTGGTTGTGGTTGGTAAGTTGGTTAGTCTCTGTTTGCCTGCTCACACATGAACTGAGAGAGGAAATCATTTTTTTCCTGCTAGTGTTTGCGTGTTTTGCAAGACAAAGCAATCCTGGCGTCTGCAGAGGAGTTTGCTTGCATTAGCTTGAAACCGAAGCAGTCATAGTTTCTGAAGGAAAATGCCTTGTGCAATTCGAGGTTGGTGGGAACTTTGGCCTTAGTTCTGTTCCCTTCCTATTCTTCCTCTGGGTAACTTACTATGTTTATATCTGAGCTTACGCTGTGGCAGTACTGCCCCTCCTTCCTCTTTTGGTTTTGCTTAAATGAGAGCTGAAAGTGCCCGGCACCGCTGAAGAGAATAATAGGTTTTGCCGAAAGGCTGAGCTATTTTGTAGAGGTGAAATTCTTAAGCTTTTTCATTCCTGGAGACACTTGGAACTTTTAAAGGGATGATCAGAGCCCCGTGGGGCAGTGTGAACACTTTCCACCTGTAAACCCGTATCATGGGGTAGTCATCAGATGCTGCTTTTCGTCTTTGTCTTACCCATTCTTGTGCTATTGAGCAAATTCAGAAGCAGTATTTGGCTTTTATTTCTTAACTGGGTTTACATTTAACTTTACAGCCTGATGTTTTTCCCCATCTGCTTGTCTAGCAGGAGCTGGCATCTTTAGCTGCTGCTTTTGTGATGTGTTTGGTTTGTAATTAGAGGTGCTGAAGACTTTGATTGCCTTAGGAAAGTTGGCATTTGTTTTACAGTTTTCTTTTTTTTTTAACCTTTTCTAGATCAAATGATACCCACCATTTGCTATGAATTTCTGAACATAAGCAGTGTGTTTTGGTCTATACAGTACTGGAACTATGCATATTGCCTTTTGTTTGATTCTTTCAGGAATTGGATCAGTTTATTTTCATGCTACTCTCAGTTTCTTGGGCCAGATGTTGGATGAACTGGCTATTCTCTGGGTCCTGATGTGTGCTCTTGCCATGTGGTTCCCTAGGAGATACCTGCCCAGAGTTTTTCGAAATGACAGGTAATCATACAGTCATCTATGTACACTTTCATGTTTCTTAAAACTTCTTAGGCTAATATACCTAAACCAACGTGTAATGGCACCAAGTTATCATCTAACTTTACCACTGCCGCCACTGTCTTTTCTCACTCCATTTTCTTCCAGTTGTTTGTATTCAGCCCATTTTGTTCAGAATTCCTGAGTCTGCAGTTCTTGGTGGTACCGTTTATACCCTGTAAGTTCAGATCTTGGGATGAAGTGACTTGCCTCTGAAAGTTCATGTTGATTCTAGGAGACCTTTACATGAGTAGTTTATGTAAGTTGCAGCTAAAGTAAAGTAAGGGAAACCCTCTTTACCTCTTCCTTTTGCATATCCTAAAGTATATATAAAAAGGGACCTGTGGAAGTCAGCTGAATTTTCATCTCAGTATTTAAGGCAGGGGTTAGAGGTTGTGTTCAAGTATTCAAAGGATGTTTGTTTAGAAGCATATTGTTGTAAAAGGATTTTTTCTCTTTCATGCACGATTTAAAAAAGCCACTTTAAAGAGTCTAGTTTTGTTTTTTCCCCCATAAAATATGTGCTATAATCGTTGTACATACTGCTTTTTTATTCACTAAAGAAATTTAGGTTATGGAGAGGTTTAAAATGCAGTGCCAGCATACTTTCTGAAAATTGCTAAGGCTGCTACCTCTTGCCTTCTTATACTGTTACTGTCTGGGATGTGTGTGCTGTTTTTTTCCTTGGCATGTCCCTGATTAGAAGTTGCTGGGGAGTGGAAGCAGAGTGAAGGTTGATGCCTAAATTGACCATTCCTCAAAATAGCTTGCACTGAGGAAAATATGTCTTGTTACTGTGTACAGTCTATGCAGTCTAATGGCTTTGTCATATTGATGTGAATTTAGTACTTCTGTGTACTACTACAACACAGTGCTACTACAGGACACCATCAGCTTAACAAACAAATAGGTTTTACTGGGGTGTTTTGGTTGATGACATGACTTCTAGACATTCAGTTCAAGGGAAGAAAAGTTCAGAGTCTTGAAGAATTTCTGTGACTGCATGTAAACTACTCCTCAGAACCCTAATGGGATTGTTATATGTCATCTATCACTATTTTCTTCTCGTGTGCTGGGTTGGTTCATAGTACAGGCAAAGAGATTAACTCTGTCCTTTTTAAAAGGAACACCACCACTTTCCGGGTGAAGTCCTCTTTCGTTTGAACTTGGTGTTAACACTATAAATAATCTTCCAGGTTATAACTGATTCATAAAGAAAAAGATGAGGTGGAAGATGTCCACTATCCTAAATGCTTCAGAACACTTCTTCCTGAGAATCTGTCAAGGAAGTTGGTGTGTTACAGTCTTGATGCTTTTCTGATGTGTACAGAAGGAGGACATACTGGACAATGTTCTTTCTTACCACATAGTTTTCAGTAACTTCAAGGCTTAAAATAGACGAAGGAAAATAGACTGTGACATGACTCTAGAAGTTGGGGCATTAAAAGTAACAAAATATCCTAGAAATCCATGTTAAAGGCATGAAGAATGATGGCACAGTGCTGCGTTGAGGATGTAGAGTGCTGTGAGCAGTGATGGACTTGTTTCTCACTTATTGTGGGAGGAGGAAGATCAGAGCGTAGCCTTTGGAATTTGAAACCAGTGATTAGTGTGTGTTTGTAGAAATATACATACATACGCATGGCTTAATCACAAGATCACAGTCCAGCAAAGATTTTTGTAATTAACTCTACATGCACGTACAAATCGACATCTGCAAGATCCACATCTGTTTTATACACATAGTTATCGCACCTTCTGAATTTACATAGTAAAATCTAAGTTTTGTTACATTATTAAAATAATTTTAAGATTTCTGGGTTTACTTATTATTTGCATTAAAAACATTTTCTTCTCCCCCCAAAACCACTATGCAGGAGCCGATTCAAAGCTGCTGTGGGTGTCCTCTCTGGAGTTACTACCTGCCTTGCCTTCATTAAGCCTGCCATCAACAACATCTCACTAATGACTCTGGGTGTTCCCTGCACAGCTTTGCTCATTGCTGAGTTGAAGAGGTGAGTACAGTTCTCCTGAGGCCACTGTCTGATGATACCCTAGATGTGGCTCCAGCGCTTGTGGTAGGGTACCAGAAATGCTTCTTCCACGTGCAAGTGAGATCAGGTATGTAGTTGTATGTAGGCATTTGTGGGAAGGATATTTTTTTTTTTGTAGGCCATTATACTAGGTCAGATATTGTCTATCTCCTTGCGAGGTATCGCTCGCTGTAGCCTGATCTGACTCAAATTTATCTGTTTGTTGTGGAATCAGAGCAAGGATTTCACGCTGCTGACAGTGTTTCTGCTGTATAATCCACCTGAGGGCAAGGTAATCACATGATCACACTCTGGGTACTAGAGAGGACGTGAAGCAAGGCCCATGCATCTGTGGAAGGTGTTCCAGCTCTCAGAGGTGTCTTTAAGCCTTACACTACTTTGTCTTCTGACATAGGTGATGGAGTCAGACTGACGAAGTTAAAGTTAATCACTAGGTTTTAGAGAGTAGCTATCAGACAGTGCCTTAGAAACTAGAAAACCATGATGCAAATAGAGGAGAACTTGAGACTGATCTTAACATTTTAAAGAGTCCTACCACGATAGTGATACCAGTAGCTGTCAACAGACATTTTTTTGCATCTCTTCACTCATTGCAGAGAGGAGCAGATGAGTACCAACATACCAACTTGTCCTTGCCCTTCTTGAGGGTCTGAGAAGGATTTCACAACTTATGTCTCTTGCATATTGCATATATAAATGTTCATCAAAAGAAACAAGAGTAGTACCAAATGTCTTTATTCTGACTGCTCCTGTTAGAACAGAGATTCTCCTTTTTTGCTGCTTTATTCTGCTGCTGCTTCTCCATACAGTGGAAGCAACTGCTTTGTTCCTATGGTCAAAGAAACTCAGAAAACAGCACACAAGTTAGTTGTAGATAGGAAGATCAGTAATTGAAGAATGTTGCTGGAGGTGTCTCATTTTGATGAAAGCACCAAGAAACTACTGACAGGGCAAATGGTGATCTAGTTGTGGCACTGAATAATTTATGTGAACTCTCTACGTATCATTTTTCCAGGTATGAGCTCCTAAGAAACTTGGTGTCTTTCAAGTTTGAATACTATTGTGTGAAATCTAAAAATTGGTATGCCTACAGATACTAGCTTTTGAAAATTCTTTCTGGAAAATCATCTCTTACTAAAATGTGTGGAGTTTCCCTGTCTGTTTTTTGAGAGAGAAGTAAGGACACAGATAAACTTTGTTTTGAATTGGCTACTAAAAAGGGTCCTGAAGTGACATATGACCCTCTTAACTGTACTTTAGGATGATGTGATACCTATGATATTTTTTGATAAATTCCTAACTGTAAAAGGCAAATAACTGAGGGTTTTATTTCAAGTTATGTTGATCCCTAGGAGTTTTAAATTACGTATATTTTTGTAAACCCAGAGGAGAGGAATCATCTCATGCCTTTTTACAGGAAAAAGAAATAAACTAAGCATTATTAAAAATGCTTGCATTTCCCCTATTCTCTACCGCCACAGTCAGTACATGGCTATACATCTGAGTCCTTGCAGTCTGCCGTGGAAATTTATCTGTGAAACAGGAATTGAGGGAAAGAAGGAGAAAAACCTCTAGAGCAGTTTCTTCTGTTCCAGGCTGAGGTTTGTGGTGTGTTAGACCAAAACTCCCTGTTCTTATTCCTGTTGTAGACTGATGGCAGTCTTGTGTAGAAGTGCAGTGAATCAGAACCACTGTGTTTTCAGATGAGAATCTTCTGCCTCTCATTTGTCTTTAATAAGGAGGTAATTTGTCAAAAGAAAGCATTATATTCTTAAATGCAGAGCTGATAGGGTGAAGTGTATACTAGAAAGTATTGTGCATGGGAGATGATCAAAAGAGCAAAAGGTAGTTCAGTGCATACTTCTCCTTGAAGCACGAAGAGACTGTTAAACTTTATTCTTACTTCTGTCTGAACAAATCATCAAAAAAAAATAGAAGCTTTCTTATGGGATGGTATCAGGGAGAAAGTGAATGTGGATCCTTTGGTTTGCTGGTTCAAGCCAAATAACCATTGAGACTACAGTATCATCAAATTACTGAGATTTACTGTGTCATCATCAGGCATGTCACTATCTCCATGTGCAGATAGGTGCTAGATTATTGTTTCTCAGCTGACATCTGTACAGCTTCTAGCTGCAGGTCTTTCTGTTCATATTTAGTTCTCTTACTACAACTCTGTCTGCAGGGGAGCCCTGCTTTATTGTTGCACATTTCTTACAGTTCCCTTATTCCTTGGCTAAAAGGTTAAACTAGTTAAAAGTTTAAAATATTCCTTAGAGTATAAAGGGAAATACCTGTGGCAAAATGAATCAAGCAGTTAATCAACATCCAGCAACTTGTTTAAAGAAAAGCTGCTGTGTTTTGTTGAGGATGACACTGAAAGATAAAGCTGCTGGAAATGTGTACTAGCCCAGTCCCTTGTATAGCAAGCATCTGAGGCACATCAGTGTTTGCAGAAAGTCTAGCATTTAAATAACTGCTGTTTATGTTAAACTGAGAACACTGTGCATTGTGTAGGCAAAAGGTGCAAATGGAAATGTAGGGGGTCGAATTTCTTTCAGGCTAGAGTAGGAGCATGTCACAGATCTGCATACAGCCGCATGGACAGCTCTTTTAGACCCTCAGCTGATAGGTTCTGTTTCAGTGGTGGTTTGAGTATCAGTGCACACGCCTATTGAGAAATAAAAGAAATGGGTCAGGTCCATGTTCTTTGCCAGCTTCCAGGTGGTATTTGCATTACATCTCCTCACTGTGGTAAAAGCAGTGACAGGTAGGAAGCTTTGCAGTCCCCTGTCTCCTCAACAAGCATGTCCTCAGCCCATCTGAAGCACAGTCACTGGAGGAATTGAAAGACTCTGTGATGGGTGGTCACAGAAAACCCGGGAGTGTTGCAGAGATCAACTGTGCTCTTCAACTTGTGCCTCTTTCTTCTTTTGCACTAGACTCTGCAGCATCTAGTTTGTTAAAATAAATTGCAGTAGCAGATGATGGTACTGAGCAAACCATTTCATTACAATCTTTGTATGTCTGATCCTGTGTTGGGAAATTTTTTTCAAGTAGGCTTTCAGTTTTACTTTGCAGCCTTGCACTCTTTGAACCATGCAGTTTAATTGTCCTCTCCTCTTGGTATTCAAACTCGTCAGATGTTGACAAACATGGCTACTGACTACAGGAGCAGGATATTTGTGGCCAAACCTCTTATCTTAAACGGGAGTTGCATGTGTTTGTTTACGTCCTTCAGACTAGTCCAGGAAAGCCTCCATGTTCTCAGTACACACACCCTTTCCTCTGTCGGAATGCACATGTACCTATCATAGTAGTCTAGTTTTATCTGTCAGATGTACAACATTGATTCATGCATGTATATGCTAGGTACATAGTTTAGCATCTTGCTCTTACCGACCATTGTGTATCTCACTGAATACTGTAAATCTGCCTTAGCATTAATGGGAGAGAATTAAGCCCAGTATTCTTATTACAATACTGGTTTTTTGACCAATAATAATTTTCCCACTACTTTTGTGAAGAGTTCTGTGCTGTCTAGCCATTTGGTAGAAACACGAATCCTCCAAAGTGAGAAGGATTTTCCAGTATAATTCTACTGATAAAACCGTGCCAGGTCTTGGATGTTTTTCTCACTAGAGTGTCTCATAAAAGAGTGTAAGGAAGAATTTGTGTAGCTGCACTCTGAAACTTTACAGACAACTCAAAAATCTCCTTACCCTCTCTTTCCTTTGTGCTCCTTGTAGCCTTTTTAAATGGAAAGACACTATTTCAGAGAAATGAGCTTTTTTTACAGTATGCAGCAAGACAATCCTGAAGCCATCTTGAGCAAGCCCTTTCACCTCTGACTCTGTCTTGGTGGTTTGCCAAGTGAGATGGAGGACTCAGGCCTAACGAAAAAGCCATTTTGGTTTATATGCTATGTGGAATATTAATTTTTGTGACTGTTGTATAGGTGGTTTTGCTATGAAAGCAACTATTGTGATATTTTTCTTATGGAGCAGATTGCAGTTTAGCCAGTGGTTGAAGGACTTCTTTGAAAAATAAAGGTAGGTGTGGTGATTTTGAATGCGGCATTATTTATAGATGACTTAAAAGAGAAATGCCAAATCCTAAAACCAGCTTGTGCAAAGGACACTGGAGAAAATTCTCTCTCAGCAGAGTTAGGCACTTGGTAGTTTTTCTGTCACTAATCCAGTAGCTGTAAAAGTGCCTTCTGCTCAACCTTAAGAGTTTCTTAATTCCACATGCCTGTTAAAATGTCAACTGAAATAGCATTTCAAGAGTGAGAAAAGTATCCTATGAGGAAAACTGTACTAATTCTTTAGCTTGCAGTACACCAGAGCCAAGAATATTACTGCTCCTGCAATACACTCAGAAAAGTGTTCCTGGACAGAGCACTCTGCTATGTTTTTAATTTTTCTGAACGCTTAGCCATACTCCCTTAGCAAGGCTTCTGTACCTGTTGCAGTTGTGCATTTCCATCACAGAGAGCTGAGTGTCATTCTCTGGCCCTGTTCTTCATCCAGCTGAGTAGTTGGAGATCATCTCACACTTGCAGGAGGGTGTAGTGACAAATTTGAGCTTGGGGACAGAGCTAGCATTACTACTTCCCTGACAGTGAATGCAGGACACCCTGTGGCTTGCATGCTGCATTTGGCCATGGAGACAGTGGTAAATATTGGAAAAATTAGAGCTCCCTGAATGTATCAAATAAGAACAACAGGTTTCAGGCTAACAGGTATTTTGTGTGGAAGACAGAAGGACCAAAAAGCTTTTTTGTGTTTGCTGCACTGTGTCAGTCAGTTGTCAAAGACAGTCCATGTATAAGGAAGATGAGGAACCATAAATACTGCTGCAGTGCACAGAGTAAAAGATGTGTATTCCTATTCTAGCTCCCTCCTCCAGGGAAGCACATTTTAATTACTTCTGAGTGTCACAAGGTGAAGTGTCCCTTTAAAGGACCTGTTTGCCAAGCACTGCTCAACTTCAGGTGCAGTGAATGAGCCCGAGAACTGTGTGGAAGAAGACTGGTGATTCAGTGTCATCTGCTGGGGTGGCTGGATTGGAACAGAGGTAAAGGTTGGCTGGTGCTCTGCTGGAGAGGAAGAGGCATGGAGACATTCCCAGTAACTTTTTGTTAAAGATGATCCTACTCTGGCTGGGGCATTGGACTAGATGATCTTTCAAGGTCCCTTCCAACCCCTGACATTCTGTGATTCTGTATTAGAGAAGCCTCTCTTGAAGACCTTGGGACAGAGAAAGGGATTATGGAGTGCTTGGCATTGACTTATTTTCCTTCTAGGATGTAAAAGGATAAGACAGGGGCCTGTAACCCAGCTGAAGGCTGAGTATTCCATGTTATACTGGCTAGAGATTTGGATTACTGGTTTACTCTTGACGTGTAGCTCAAACAAGTTACTTTAAGGAAATTATTCTGTCATCTGATTGGTAGGTTTGGGAGTGCTTTGGGAGGTCATATCAGTAACCTGAGAAGAGTAGTTTACTGAGGAAAGAATTACCTAAGAGCACTGAATGGTTGTCACATCCCTGGGAAATTCACCAAGAGTTTAACAACAACAAAATCAAAAAAAGCAAGGAGAGAAAATCCCAAATCATAGTTCTATTCCTGCAGAAAACGTATGAGCTGAGCCATGCATTCCCACACAAGGCTGGTCGCATACTGGTCTAGCTTTGTTTTAGAGATATCAGTAACAGCAGAGCTCCATCTGCTAGACCAAGAGGCTTAGCCTCAAAACAGCAAGATTATCTCAGTGCTTCATTTTTCCTGATTTTACTCTTCTGAGTAAAGTACACTTTGATAGGATAGTTCCAGATGTGGAAAACAACAAAGGAAAATACAGGAAAATAAAACTGTGAGCTTTTGATTAGACCTGTGACACAGGTAATGCTCTCCAAGTATCCTGGCATGTGCTCCAGTATTCAGTGACAGTCATCTGCAGACCACTGTATGTGGCCATAGCAAATGTTTTGTGTTTTCTTTCTCTCTGGTGTACCTCTGTATGAACAAGTCAGGTTTCTTGTGGAGGGAGAGAACTTCAGCTTAGTCAACATTAGGAGTTTTGTTTGAGATGTGGATGACTGCACCATCTACTAAAGCATGCTTCTTTGGGCCCCCTGGGTAGAGGTTCCTACTTTGCAAGTTCTCCAGAACTCTTACATTGTGCAATACCAACTTGTGGGGGGGAAAAATCAACAAAACACTTAAAGAAACCCTCACCTAGTTCACTTTTTTACCAGTCTTTATATAGTGACAAATGCGAACAAATCTGAGCATCGGTTGTTACCAGACAGCATGTGTAACTAATCACTAGGTGTCCTAGATACACCTCCCTAGATACGGGAGAAATCTGATGTTTGCTCACTGTTTACACACTGGTATTTAAGGCAATATTTAAGGCTGCTGATGGGAAGGCTTGTTTTGTCATCTTGCTATACTTACTGTAAATAAAGTTCCTCCGATAAGGACGTTTATGGCAGAGGCATTTTAAAGATGTGTGCCTGGCACTGTGAATCCTAACCGAGAATACATAGGGCCAAAAAGCATCAAGCTGCCATTACAAATAAAATTTTGTTTTGTTTTATCACGAGTTCTTTGTCTTTTTCTCCTCAGGTGTGAAAACCTGCGTGTGTACAAACTAGGTCTTTTTTCAGGTCTTTGGTGGATGCTAGCACTTTTCTGCTGGATCAGTGACAAAGTATTTTGTGAAATCTGGTCCTCGTTTAACTTCCCCTATTTGCACTGCGTATGGTAAGTATTGTGCCTGAACTCCACAGTTTGATTCAAATGTGGTATGTCGTCACCACATTAGGCTTCTGTCCTACATGTTGACTATTTCTAGTTAGTGCTAAATAGAATTACTGGTAAGATTATAAGCCCAGAGCAAGCCTCATGCTATTCAAGGTGGCAGATTTAGCAGTCTCTTTGGCATGATCAGGTTCTCCAAACACTAAATTTGTAATTGTAATTGAATTCTTTGCCCTACTGGTTTCTAAAAATCCCACAGCACTGCTGTGGGATTTCACAGCAGTGACTGTGAAAGCTAAAACTTCCACTGTTAACAACTGAGGGTGAAGCAGGGGAACAAATTGTTCTCTCTTATTCAAGGTGTATTTCTACACAAATCTGTGAGATGCCAAGAGATGAAAAAGCAGCAGCAAGTTTAGACCAAGAGTAAGCTGTGGCTTTGTGGCTTTCCTTATTGTCTCTATTCTTTGTCTGCGTGCAAAGGGTGACCCTATGGGGGACTCTGGAAGAAGATGAAGGACAGATTTTAAAGAGTGGTGATATGTTTGACTGCTTTACTGAAGTTATGTTACTCATATTTTCTTTTTTCTTGGGGGGGGTCATGGGTGTCTATTCCCAGGCACATTTTGATTTGCCTTGCAGCATACCTGGGCTGCGTCTGCTTTGCTTACTTCGATGCTGCCTCTGAGATCCCTGAGCAGGGCCCTGTCATAAAGTTCTGGCCCAGTGAAAGATGGGCATTCATCGGGGTTCCCTACGTCACTCTCCTCTGTGCACACAAGAAGTCACCTGTGAAGATCACCTGAAGTTGGCGATGGAATGGGAATGGAGTTTCAACTTACATTCCAGCACGGACAGTATTTAAATAATGATAAATGAATAGGGTTTTATTTTATCTTCTTCCTAAGATATGCAGTACTTCAGGTGTCATAGGAAAAAGAGGCAAGTGTGTCCTTTCCTCTCTCTGGAGAGAGGAGGGAGGAAGTTGGAGGCTCTTGAACCAGCTTCTCTGGTTGAATGTTTTGCACTGTGTTTTCAATGTAGCACTTCTCTTGATAAAAGCTCTTTACAAATACCAGGGTCAAGGAATGACACTTCTGCAGTAAGCCACCTCTGGTGCTTGATTCACTTCTTCTGGAACTTCTGTCTTAAGGCTTTCTTTGCGAGGGAAGCCAATATGAGATGCCTACATGCCATCCTGTGCCCTCATTGGCTCTGAAGTTTTGACGTGGTTGTGCCTGGCCACAAAGAGCATGCTCAAAGCAGGTCCTCCTCCCAGCCTGGGTAACACGGGGAGCGGGGCCGTGCACTGGGTCAGGTTGCTGGGTATGTGGCTGCTTCTCAAAGTACAACAGGAGACCAGTGCAGTGTTTGCAGCGGGGCAACTGGTTCAGTGCAGTTGGGCAGTATAAATGCAGGGATAGCTGACAGAAGATTCAGTCCCTAACTACTAAATAGGAGCTCAAGGGGTTTGAATTTTTCTGTATTTCCACTGACCTGTGGGTGTTTGTATGCTGCATATTTCCCTCTTACAGAAATGTCACAGAAATCGCTCTCTACCTCTGCAGACATGGTTGACTTTGACATTGAAGCTCACACAGAAGTGTGAACATTAACTTCAGTAAGAGCTCAGGTCAGCATGGATTGACAGTGTGATTAAACTATAAAAACTTATAGGTGCCTAGCTGTACATCTAATTTGAGAGTCATCTTCTCACCAATGCATTGTAAAGTGACACAAACAACAGTCCAGTGCTTTGCTAGTTATACATAGAAGAGTAGATAGCCATTTAAAAAACAAGCTGAAGACTTAGATTTCAGTGAGCAGTAAAATGTGACGTTGAATCTTGTATTCTTACAAAAGAATAGTAGATTCACACTTTCTGTTTGTTTTCAGCCTGTTTTGTAAAGATAAGGGATGTCTAGATCCATTTAGTTTTAAGTTCATACTTTGAGGTTAAGGTTCAGGAATGGCTGTTGTTCTTACATGCAACTTATACTAGGTCTGTTTAGAAAATGATACACAGTGCAGATGTCTTTTTCAAATATTAGAAATTTAGCTGCTAATAGCTGCAGTCTTGCAGGAGGGCCTGCCTGCACTCCACCTAATGTCAGTGAGTGAATTAAGGCTTTGGTGATACTTCCTTTTTTAATATTGGACCAGGAAATACCATTTCCTCTGTGCTTTGGTAAGAAGTCTCATGTTGTACTTTTTTCTATCAATGTGAAAATGTACTTTGTACAGTGCAACGTTTAGGAAAGTGGCTTTTAATAGGAACTTTGAGGTGAATTAACTCTCAAGCATTTCTGATAACTTCTTTAGTGAAATGGATGCTTGGAAAACGAGAACTAAGGTATATGCTGTTACACTTTAAGCAAAGTTGTTAGTGGGAGATACGACTGTCTTCTTGAGAACTTCAAAGCAGTAAAGTAGCCTACTGTCAGATTGACTGCCAGGTCATAGAAGCAGCGAAATCTTCCCAGTGGAAAAGTGCAGATTTATACTACTTGCTAGTAGATTTTTCTAAGAGAAATGTGCGGGTTTTTTGACACATAGTCATACAATTTTTGTATGAAATGTGTTTGTAAAAATTCATACGGTAATGTGTGTTACTCTTTGAAACACAGTTGCTTTTTCCTTTTCCTTCCTGTCTACCTAATTATGAAATGCTTAAACACTTCTCAGGTATTAAAAGTCTTATGATTAGATTCTTGTACAAATAGACTTGCTGACTGGAGCCGGGCTCAGGCTTCTGGTGCCTGACATTGCCCTACTTTGAGTAAGATTTTTTGTATTGTCTGCTAAATTATTATGTTATGGTAAATAAGTTATTTTCAGTATTGCTTGTGAAATTAGTAACTGCACTCATAATGTACTATTCAAAATGACTGGAGCCTTCTTACTTAATATTTTGTTTGAAAGCGACCTCTGACTCAAATAGCTCTCATTAACCTGCTGTCAGCTTCTGTCTTCTGCTCTGCAGTCTGCAGCTCACAAAGAAGTAATTTTATAGTTTAAAAATTTGCGGTAGTGTGTTCAGCTACTGCAGAGGAGTGTAAATGCAGGTGCAGGCCAAGAATCATCTCCTGTACTCTTCACAGGAGACGAAGAGTAGGAGAACAAAGATCACTATCTGATATTCAAAGCTTCGTTGTAGCACTGGTTAGGAGTATTCCGCCACAACAGCAGCTCACCACTTTTGGATGTGGCTACTTCACTTTACATTAAATTAATGTTAACTTATATGTTCTGACAAAATCTACATTTACTCCAAAAGATAAAAAACACAGATTTTTTACTAGATTCACAGCTTTACATATTGCACTTTGGACTAAGACTGCATGGAGTTCACGGTAACATTAGTTCACAGTAACATTAGTACCCAAAGCAGGGCATACAGGGGGATTTGTGCACTACCCTGATTGTACAGACGAATAGACATGTGCACAAGTAGCTGTATGTATTATGTTGGAGTATAAAGTGACGTAGATGCACCCTCAGGTTTTAAAGCCCCAGAATGCTTTCTTCCCTTGCTGACAGGAAGTAAGTGGGTTCCTTGTTCTTTGCTTTGGTCAGTATTTTAGTTTAATTAATGGGTTGCAATAGTATGTTTAGCCTAATGTAGATTCTGTACATTGGAGTGTGATATCCATTGTTCCTTGAATGTTAAAACTTTAGGTCATTTAAGGAAGGATGTTTAGCTCTCAGTGGTGGCAAACACTTGCCCAATTCACAGTCGCAAAGAACTTAATAAATAGTATGTAAGGAGTGGTGTTGGGGTTTTTTTTTCAATCTCTATTGAGGTCTGTGTACTGAATGTCTGTGGAAAGTATGTAATACTTTGTAACATTAAATTGCACTTGAAATAAATAGGTTTGCCTTTTCATACATCATATTTGTGTAGAAGAGTGTAGCTGCCAGTATAATGCCTTGAAGTATAGTGAGAATAACTTCTTCACGCAGTTTTAACTCTTTAGAGGAGGAAAGAGACTGCATTAGACAGAAGAACATTAGTTAATGAGATAGAGATTACTTTGCTGAGCAAAATGATTTTTTGGAAGTAGAGCAAATACTTGGAAAACTGCAAGCCCATTCATCAAGAGGGACAAGTAGCAAGTAATGGCTAAAAGTGACTTGCCTGTATTTCTTCTCTGAGAAATTTGTGGATCCTCATAAGCCAGTGTGATCAGGCTTGAAATAACTGTTGTGTGAACATGTAGCTATAATTCAGTAATGTTACTAACTCGGAGTTTTTATCTGTAGTTGACAAGATGTCAAAACCAGTTGGTCGATTGGCTCAGGTATTGTCCTGTCACTAGCTGGAGATTATTGATACGGTTTCCCGTGCAAGCAAGGGGAACATCATCATGCCCCTGCATTTCTCTGATAACTTAAGAGCAGCTGGCTTATTTTGACCAAATCTGACAGAGGCAAGAGCCTTAGAGATAATTTCCTACAAGCTGTGAGGTAGAGAAGCCAGGCCTCTGAGACAAGCAGTCTCAAGAACTGTGTTGTTAAAGTAACAGAGAACTTACCCAGGAAGGAAACCAAAGCTCAACCAATGCTGGATGGACTTTGATGGTGACTTGTACCAGCTCCAGCCACAGAAGCCAGTTACACATGGAAGGAGTTTCACAGGCTTCTGTTCCAGAGATGGCAGAATTACTTCAGTGTAATACATACAAACTTGCCTTTCTGTCCAAACTTACGAGACAGAAACTTGCCCGAGAGCGGCAGTTGGAAATCTCATATCACCATACACCTGGCTGTCATTTAAACGGTGCAGACTGAGAAAGACTGAAGTTTGAAGGAAGTCTGTGCCCACAGACTCAGGAACCATGAAAAACTGTTTGTAAACAACCACTGTGTAATGGGGAGGTGACTGGGAGGTTGTCAAGAGCAAGCTATGTTTACCTAATTTAGGTTTTTCTAGAATAGCATATTTGCTGTCCCTATGGCTGCAAAAGAAACAGTATACTGTTATATTTTGACATTGATAAGATTTCTAACACTGTCTGACAGCATGTCAGCACTAAAAAACCTGGCTTTGATAAAAATTCTGTGGATTAGTGTGAAATTGTTTGAATAGCTGCTTCTGAGCTGTGATAAGTGGTTCATTATAAAACCAGAAGAAGGTGTCAGATGGAATTCAAAGCAGGATTCTGTATTAGTTCACTTTCTGTTTAACTGCTCAGGAGTGCACACGTGGAATGTATTGATAAACTAGTGTTTGGGAAGGTTCGTGAATACCTTGAAAAACAGGTCTAAAAATCCAAAGGTGGCTTGCTGAACTGTGGAAAATAGAACAAAATGGAGTAATAGCAAGGTATTCACAGAATCACAGAATGTTAGGGGTTGGAAGGAACCTGAAAAGGTCATCTAGTCCAAGCCCCCTGCCCTAGAGCAGGATCACCCAGAGTAGGTCACACAGGGAGACATCCAGGCAGGTTTGAAATATTTCCAGAGAAGGAGAGTCCACAACCTCCCTGGGCAGCCTGTACCAGTGCTCTGTCACCCTCACAGTGAAAAAGCTTTTCCTAATGTTTGTGGAACCTCCTATGCTCCAGCTTGCATCCGTTGCCCATTGTCCTATCACTGGACATCACTGAAAAGAGCCTGGCTCCATCCTCCTGACACTCCCCCTTTACATATTTGTAAACATTAATGAGATCAACCCTCAGCCTCCTCTTCTCAAAGCTAAAGAGACCCAGCTCCTTCAGCCTTTCCTCATAAGGGAGATGTTCCACTCCCTTCATCATCTTTGTGGCTCTGCACTGGACTCTCGCAAGCAGTTCCCTGTCCTTTTTGAGCTGAGGGGCCCAGAACTGGACACAATATTCCAGATGTGGCCTCACCAGGGCAGAGTAGAGGGGAAGGAGAACCTCTCTTGACCTACTATCTACTTCCCTTCTAATACACCCCAGGATGCCATTGGCCTTCTTGGCCACGAGGGCACATTGCTGGCTCATGGTCATCCTGCTGTCCACCAGAACCTCCAGGTCGCTCTCTCCTATGCTGCTCTCCAACAGGTCAGTCCCCAACCTGTACTGGTACTTGGAGTTGCTCTTTCCC